TAATATTAATATTAATAATAATAATAATATTAATAATATTATTATTAATTTTGGCTCCCATGTTCTCTTATTCCGAATAATAATTATAATTAATTTTAAAAATGTTGGCTAGTGTTCCAAGCTTGCATCCTACCAGCTTAGCAATCCAGGGGCAAGAGGCACCTCTTCCCCATTATTTTCAGCAGAAATCCCAGGAGCTTAAACACAGTCCTGTGGTCATCCCCAGAGTATCTACCCTGACCAGGGGTGTGTGGTCCTCTGATCGCCCAGTTCATACGAACAACTCTGGAGCCAGAGGGAGATTGCTCCACCCAAATCCTGCTCACAGAGAATGGACCATGGGGGTGTATTAATCGGAGAGAGTAGATGTTGGCCTGGTTCAAATAACACTTCCTCGCCTTTTCTCGGCTCCTTAACTCACATCTTGAGCTAGATTTAGTCACTGATTAATTATTACTCAAGAAATTTTAGGGGCTCCCTGCCCAGGGCCTGCTGTGTTGGGGGTATGTCATGTTACTAGGATTTTAGCTCTACCTGACTAGCTTTTTTTAGTGCCTCCCTTCACCCCCATCGTTTCTATATCCCTGCTCCAATGCCGGAGCTCTTCACCTTGGTTTTGTAGACCTTTAGTGGCTGAGCTAAGAAATTTCTGAGGATCCAGGACCCCTCTGGAATCACAGGGTTCAGAGCTCTGACAGTTATGTGTCTGTGCTGTGAGCATGTTTATGAAAAGAGGGTGAATAGATCTCATTTGGTTCTCAGATCCCATAGCGAGTCACCACTCTCGGGTTTTGTAGGCACAGTAGACGTGCAATACATACATGTCAAATCCAAAATCAAGTGCTTCATTCCACAGTCACTACCCTGACCCTTTCTTCTTGGCTCTGCTAACCCACATTCTCCCGGATGGTTCCGTGGCTTGCTGATGCCCAGCCTCCTTTGCCCAGCGGTTGGCCAGGTGCTCCATGTTATGAACATGTCTGTGTATTGTCTGACGCTGGCTTGCCCTCTTAGACTTTCCTGCCCCAGCCTTCTGCCCTACAGTCTCATCCCTTTGTCATCCCTTCCTGGGTGTAGGAGGACTTACACTGTTCATTTCTCTGCTTTTTCTAGTTATGGATATAACAGACATCGTCAAGGGGAAAGCAGAGAGTGATGAAGAGAAGCAGCACTTCATTCCTTTCCACCCGTGAGAGATTTCCCATTTATCTCCCTTCTCTTAAGCCACACCCTTTTGTGTTGGGGACCACATGAGGGCCTCCTGTGAGTGTTTGTGCTCTTTTTCTTTGCAGGGTGACAGCTGAGAATGACTTCCTGCACAGTCTGTTGGGCAAAGTCACGACCTGCAAGGGAGACAGCGGAGGGCAAGGTACAGTGCCAATTCGCCAAGTGGACTGGGCCTGCCTCTGGCTTGGGAGCCTCTGATTCTTCAACAAACAGGTCCAAAATCTGAGCCTTGAGAAAGACAGCCTTCCTTCCAGACAGACCACTGCGAAGAATGGGGGCGTGTGACCCACAGAAATGGAAACCACATCTCCTGAGGCTGGGAGGCATGTCCTAGTGCCCACAGGAAGAGAGGGACTCCTATGTCCTGGCTACCTCCTATATGTCAGGCACTTGCACATGTTTCCTTATTTTATCTAGTCCTTCCCACAGTTCTGTGAGGTAGATGGTATCATGCCCTTTATGAAGGCTGGGCTCAGAGAGGTGGGGCCATTTGACAGGCATTGATGTTGCTAGAAGTAACCAGTGGGATTCAGACCTAGAGATGCCTGGTTGCTGATGTCTGCTTCCAGATGTTTGCTTCCAGTGTTCTCCTTCAGAAGGAGACCCAGGGAGAGCTGGTGGTGGTGGTGGTGTGGAGGGGTGAGGCTGAGAGAACACCTTGAAGAAATTGGCTCTTCATGGTGAGCCTTCCCTTCCAGGCCTCTGGGTGACCATGAAGATGCTCGTGGGGGACATCATTCAGATCCGAAAAGACTACCCCCACCTGGTGGACAGGATCACCGTGGTGGCCAGGAAGCTGGGCTTCCCCGAGATCATCATGCCAGGTCTGGCCTTTCCTCGGGGAGTGGGGGGTGGGGGTCCAGCTGGTTGAATCCTTGTTTTTTACAAAATCAACTCCTTCCTTTTCTACTGCTTTTTTCTAAATTTTCCTGAAGGCCACCACTGAAAACAATTTTTGTATCTACAGAAATCTACGCATTCACATACTAAACGCAAACACATAAATATACACATGCACTTTCTCCCCACAAGTGGGGCTGTCCTTTATATGCTTTATACACCATTACTTCATATTCTTTATATATAAAGTAACTTGCTTCACTGCTTAACTATTTAGCATGGACATCTTTTCTATTTTACTACATATAGAATAAGTCCATTCTTCTGGGGAGAATATTCATTCCCTTCAAATTTTAAACAATTTTTTTATTACCAAAGACTTCATGCCTGCTGTAAAATGTTCAAATAGCTTAAAAAGGTATAAAGTGAAACATTAAAAGCTCCCTAATACTTTGTCTCCAGAAGTAACCACTACTATGAACATTTTCCCAATGTGTCTGTCATAAAAGGAAGATGACTGAGGTTACATGAGATTCTTTGAAAAGTTTCCTTTTTGTCCTAAACCTCGTGTCCACGACTGTTCTCACTGACTTCCTCTCTTCCTGCCACAGCCACTGGGGCCTGTATTGTCAGTCCTTCATGTCTGCTTTACCTGCGACCTCAGTTTCTTGTGACTCCCCTTCAATTCTTCTCGCCCCGATCCCCGAAGACCCTTTGCTCCTCATCCCCGACCCTGGGTTCCTTGGACACACGAGCAATGCTCCGCTTCCACAGAGTAAAAGATCAGTGAGTGTCCACGGTAGCTATTAATGGGCCTGGATCAGTTCAATTGGAGCTTTCCTTTGCCTTCCCAGAAGGTGTCACTAGAGGATGAAAATTAAATGATTTCAATGGAGAGAAATACATGGCCAGTTTTGACCATCCTTACCCACCCCCAACCCCGCTTTGCAACTGATTTCCTAGTGTTCCTCCATCCCCTTGTTACCTATTGCTCCCGCCTCCCCGATGAGGTAAAATGCCTTTCCAAGCAGTTCTGATTTTAATTTCATTAATGGACATCAAGGCGGGGAACTTCCGCTCACTCCCCCTGTTCTCCACCTCTCTAATCAGCAGCCCTCCAGCTGCACAGACTCCAACTCTTGTCTCTCTCTCTCCCTCTGCCTCAGGGGATGTCAGAAACGACATCTACATCACTCTCCTACAAGGCGACTTTGACAAGTACAACAAGACCACACAGAGGAACATGGAAGTGATCATGTGTGTGTGCACGGAGGATGGCAAAACGTTGTCTGTAAGGACCCCTGCTGTCGCTCTGGGTGACAAGGCCCCCCTTGGGGGCCTCTGCTAGTAAAGATTTGCATTTCCCACCCCTGATTCTGCTCTCTAAATGCCAACTGCCTTCGGGATGGTGTTGAGTAATGTGACCTACACCTTAGAGCTCGGTTAGCACAGTAGCCCATAATAAGACCTGGTGTTGTTATTTCTTTACACCAAAGCAGCTCTTCAATGCCTGTTCCTCTCCTTTCATGACTGCTAGTTCTTCTTTTTTCTTTTTCTTTTTGCTTGGCCTCACTCCATAGGTTAGCCTTTGCAGTTAAAATGTTGTTCTCATTGAAACATGAGCTGGTTTATTCAGGCAAAATTCATGGCAAAAAAGAAAAAAAAAAAGATCAATACAGAGCCTTAGGCTGGTGGAGACTCAGGATGCGCTCAACACAGACAACCCAGCACTTGCTCTAAATTCCCAGCGCTCAGCCAGATGCTGGTGGAAAGCCTCATTAGTACATTGGTCTCCAGAGGGCTGGCCGAGTGTATGCAAGAATGCAAAGCACGTTGCTATAAATATTTAGACAGCATATGTCCTCTACACTATTTGTCATGTGTGTTTACATCTATTTACTTACATTTCCTCTAAGGTTGTCAGCAGCTGTGTCCGGTGTGTGGGAGGGTCTTGTGTCTCAATTTCTCCTTTTGGAACACTTAGCTGAAAATAAAATTGCTCTCAGCGGAAGTGGCAGCATGGGCAAATGCTCCTCTCAGGCCGCAGTAGGTGATCAGATAGCACAGTGGGATGTGGTGTGAGTGTCGATAAGTCATCTGCTCTCGCCTGGGGCCTGAGCTCAGGCAGATCTTGCCTTCCTCCACCTAAGAGTAACTAGCATTACAGAGCCATTGCAACGTGCCAGGTACCCCGGTAAGCATGATGCATTGCCATCATTACCCCATCTTTACAGAGTGGGAAGCTAAACAGCTCTCCCAAGGTCATGAGGTGAGTATGAGGCAGAGGGGGGTTTTGATTCCAGGTTTCTGGCCCTCTGAAACACTTCACTGTGACGTCTATCCATCTAAAAAATTACCCAAGTCATTTCTCATTTTAACATGAGGCTAGTAACCAATTCTATCAAAATCTATTTTAACTTTAAGGAAATCCCCACAATTGCATTTTTGTTCATAAAGACTGGCTCTGTTAATTAATATTTAATTGAGCAAAATACAGTCATTTTCTTTTTTTTTTTTTTGATTCTGAAACTTTTCTGAAAAATAAAATAAGTGAGAGACATGTTGCCGAAAGGAACATAAAGGAAGAGTAGAGGGTTTTTATCTGAAAGGGAATTTGCATTTCCCCGAATGTACAGACCACTGCTTTGAAGTTATTTTTACCCAGCTACCTGTTGGGGAACTTTTTAACCTCGGCTTCAGTTTTTAAACCATTGATACCCTTGCCGCCAATGCTGCCAAATGGCAAATTAGAAGAAGCGTTAACAGAAAAGCAGGTGTCTTACCTTGTTTCTGAACCATTCTTGCTTCTACCTCTGCTACCTTTTCAAGTCATACCCCACCAGGCGGCATAGACGCATTTCTCACAGATGAATACGGGAGCACGCATGCTGGGGCTGAGGTGGAGAGGCAGCTGTGGGTCGTGGTGATAATTTGCAGTTTCATCTACTAGGGAAGTTATGGGGGAGTTCAGTTGACTGACTATTGAAAATTGCTAAGGAAGCCTGTGGGAGGCTTGCCTTTCTCTCTTTGCAGAAATCAATATGACTGCCTAATGAAGTGCCAGGCGGCTCACTCAAACACTCCTGTCTGACGCTGGTGGGCTCCTGTGGGAACGGGCCCCTTTAGGGATACCGACTTCTCCTCTGCTCCAGGGGCACCAGGCCCTTGGCGGAGCGGGGCCAGAGGACAGTGGGGTATATTGGTCATTGGCTCACTTCGGGGTCTCAATGACCTTGCTCAGAAAGAGCCATAGGAGAGAAGCTAATGAGGTGAGCTCTGGGCTCAGACATTCAGGGTTCAGATCCAAGCCTCTCATATCAGCTGTGTGATTTGGGCAGGTTTATTTGTCTATAAAAGAGGAATAATAATCCTTCTCGTCAGATTTCAGGTTAAACAAAATGGTAGGTGTAAGGTACCTGGTATGCAGTACTCGGTAGCAGAAAGGAAAACATTAAGAGAAGGCAGACCTACTACAGGGTGAAGCCCTGGGCATGAATCCAGGGGGTTCAAGTGGGCAATCCAATGTGGATGCCTGAGCAAGTCTAAAGAGAATTAAAAAAAGGTTCAGATGCCAGGTTGAGAAACCTCTGCTCTTATGACCAGCTTAAGGTGGGAGGTAGGGCGTGGGGGGCAGTGTGGTGTCGTGGTTAAGACTATGCCTTCTGGGGCCAGATAGCCAGGCTCAAAGCCCAGCTCAGCTCAGAGTAGCAGGATGACCTTGAACAAGTTACATGATCTCTCTGTACCGAAGATTCTCTGCCTGCAAATGAGGCCAGCAGTGGCACCTTATTCTTGTGACTATCAAGTGAGGTAATCTACATAATAGGTGTTCATTACTGTTGGCCATCTTTCCTGGAAAGGTAGAGCGATCTCCAGGCTTGACTCTTGCCTGGTGGATGCTCATAGGCATCTCCCCGTGAGGTGGCCTCATAGGTGTGGCACACTTTCTGGCGCGTTCCCATCCATGGTGACATTTGTTCCTCAGGTGATTCCTGCAAGGTAAATAGGGCCTGTGTTATGAGCCTGAGGTCCCTCCTGCTGAAGTGTGCCTGCCAAGGCCAACTCAGCCTTAAAGCCTCCAGTTCCCTGATTCCTGCTCAGATGTGCTCGGCTGACAGAGTCAGCAGAGCCTCCTGACTGTTAACTGAGGTTCCGGGGGTAGGCAATGGGGAAAATTATTGAACAGGCTTACTTGAGTCAAATCTATATTTTCCCTAAAACTGGGCTCAGTCCCAATCACGATGCTCTCTAGACACATTTGGCAATGTCCAATTTATCTCTGAAGGGTTGAGGGTCTTAGGCCTTTCTCAGAATAATACTGAGACTTTTCTCCAGCCTTAGGCAATCAAAATTTTTCATCATCTGAGGCACTGGCTGGGTAGCTCAGCAGTTTAGAATGTTGGCTGCGGGTTAGATCCCGGTCAGGTCACATACAAGAATCAACCAATGAATGTATAAGTAAGTAGTACAACAAAGCAATCTCTCTCTCTCTCTCTCTCTCTCTCTCTAAAAAAAAAATCAATACATAAAATTTTTAAAAATATTTTTTTAAAAAAAAACAACCAATACATAAAATTTTAAAAAATGTTTTTTTTCATCATCAGGACAGATGTGTATCTTTAGATTTTATGAGCTAGATGGAATTCACTGGAGCTACAGAAACTCTAAGCCCATAAATGTCACCATGGAATTCACTGGAGCTACAGAAACTCTAAGCCCATAAATGTCACCAAATATAAATCTTGGGTGGCTGGAAAGCCTCTAGGTTATTCTAGAAGGAACACTGGGCAAAGAGTAGAGGGTCTGAGATGTAGTCCAGCTCTGCTACTTGTGGGCAAGTGACTTAACCTCTCAGGGCCTCAGTTTATTCAGTTGTGAAATGGGGATAATGATGGTAATCGTCAGAGGTGGTTATGAAGATGGAAATAAGTGAGGTCAGGTGTGGAAAGGACTTAGCACAATGCTAGACAAAATGCACTCTTTGAAGGGTTAGAAAAAGCTCGGAAGCATGTTTTTAGTTTATTGCCCGGAGAATTTCTGAAAGGCTTCTTCCCTGTGAGAAGTAGAAGAGATGTGTGTCTTTCTTTCCAGTTCTCTGGTTCTCCTTGTGATTTATATTTTTGTTTGTTTGTTTATTTATTTATTTATTTATTCATTATTTATTTATTGTTAATCCTCACCTGAGGATATTTTTCCACTGATTTTAGAGAGAGTGGAAGGGATGGGGAGAGACACACAGAGAGAAACATCGATGTGACAGAGACACATTGATTGGTTGCCTTCAGCATTTGCCCTGACCAAGGCCTGGGATCGAGCCTGCAACCAAGGAATGTGCCCTTGATCAGAACTGAACCCAGACTCCTTCTGTCCTCGGGCTGACACTCTATCCATGGAGCCAAACCTACTAGGCTCTTGTTTTTGTTTTTAGAGATCAGTTTTGAAAGGGCACTGTATCCTTACTTTGAAATAGACTCAGTTTGGCTGCAAGTACGACCCGTCAGTATTAAACTGAGCTCCTCCTTTCCCTGTGGCTCAGAAGTAAAGTGGGCGCTCTGCCACAAGAGGGGCGGGATTCTCCTTCCCACAGGGGTCCCAGGGCCCACACGCGGCCAGCTGGGCCATTCAGTCCTGGGAGGCGGGCTTGGTGCCAAGGATCTATTGGAGAATCTGGTAGAATCTGGTGAGAGGCCTGGACTCTCAGACGATACAAATGCCCAGAGGCACACAGTTTTGCAATTTGGGGGTTTGGAGCTGCAAACCCAATCCTCACATCCCTGAGTCTCTATAGACTGGAGGTTAAAATCTGCTGCTCTTGTATAAGAACCCCACTTAGGCCCCTTCTGGGTGATCCTGGCTCAGATCTGTTTGGTGGTCAAATAACTAGAATGAACAGAGAGAGAGAATCAGGGGTTGGTATACTCCATAAAGAGGTAATTCCTGTTGCCCTTGTTGGTTTGGCTCAGGTTTTATTCTGGTTAAGGGCACGTACCTCGGTTGCAGGTTCGGTCCCGAGCCGCGGTTGGGGCATGTGCAGGAGGAAACTAGTTGATGTTCTCTCTCACATCTATGTTTCTCTCTCTCCCCCTCCTCCCTCCCTTCTGCTCTCTCTCTAAAGATCAATGATATCCTTGAGTGAGAATTTTAAAAAAAAAGGATAGGTAATCCCTGTTACTTGGAGGGTGACTTTATGGCAAGGAATAAACAGCCTACACAGGTATGCTTGCTCTGCCCTCACTCTGCTCAGAACATCCTTGTGCATTTCTGCTCAGAGCCTAGGAATTTTCCTTCAAGATCCTTCCTGAGTCCTCAGCTGGAACTCAAATGCCTCTTCTCTGTGCAAATACATGTGTCTGTCATCACATTGCATTGCTTAGTGATATGTCCGCCCATCTAATGATCCCTCCATTGAACAGAACCCTCATGCCAGCTTTAATTTCTGACTTATTCCCATAACCCAGAGCTCAGGAGGGGCCTGGTTCCTGGAAGATGCTTCCTAACCATGGGCTGCCTCAGCCCCCTATGCCCCTGTCTGTCTGAAGCCTGAGCTCCTCCCTCCCCCTTCCCAGCTCCCTCGGGCACTTTGGTGTGATAGCATCAGAAATCCATCAGCACAGCAACTGCCTGACTGATGGGAGCCTGTTTGTAAACTTTGTGCACAGTCAGACTCAGGAAACAAATAGGATTAATCAGACTGGCAGTGAGCAGGGACTCTGGGACCGGTCACCATTTGCAGTAGGGCCTCTGCGTCCGCCCTGGCGCGCTCCTGCAGTCTCCAGAATGCAAGTAATAGGATTTCTGCAGTTAAGCAGCTGTCACCCTCGGGTCTGGGGACATGCATATACATCTGTAGTGTAGAAGGCCATGTGGGTACCTGGTAGGAGGGCTGGGAGAAGCAGGGTTTTCCCAGGTCCTAAGGCCAGCCTCGGCCTTGGGTCCAAAATTACCCAAGCCCAGTAAAGGGCAGTTCTGTAGAATTCTCTCTCTCTCTGTTTTCCCCCTCTTCTGTCAGAATGCAATCTGCGTGGGAGCAGGGGACAAGCCTATGAATGAATATCAGTCCGTAGTGTACTATCAAGTCAAACAGCCACGGTGGATGGAAACAGTCAAGGTAATAATAATACATTATAATAATAGCAGCAAACACGTATCTGGGACTCAGAGGCACTTCCCTGGGGTGTGGAGCAATACCCCACAGGTGTCCGTGGTGCACCGGGCTGTGGAAATGGCGGGCCTGTGGGTGAGCACTCTGGTTCTCTTGCTCTCTCTCCACTGGCCGAGGGCCTAGCCACCGTGAGGTTGTCAGATGGTCCTCTCGTGGGTGGTACCCAGCCCATCAAGCTGTGTCCTGACATCAGCAGTGAGGAGTGACAGAGCTTGTGAGGCTACACTAGGCCAATTAACACCTGACCGATAACCTGCTGGAGGGATCTCAGAGGGAATCGGCATTAATCACAGATATTCGCATTCCTAGATCGTCACACTAAGCAGAAGGGAAAGCCAGGCACTGGAGGAAGAGTTGGGAATTCATTCAGGGAACAGGGAAGCCTGGTCTCAGCTTCAAATAGCTCTGCCTGTAACGAGCAGCAGGTTTGACTTCCCCTGTGCTCTGATCCCAAACACAGACGTTCACTTGACTCAAGTTTCAGAGGTAGCTACGCAGACCCTGAGGTCCTTGCCTGGTCACCTGTATTCCTGTTCCCCTCAGTGGGTCTCCCTGTACTCACTTTCTTAAAAATGATGACCTGCCCAGCTTTGGGGTCACAAGCTATTGAACCAGGGCAGGGGGTGTCCTCTTCTCTGTGTTCATTTGCACCCCAGTTATACCTCCTTGTTGGTCCTTGTAAACTTTGTGCACAGACACCCCATGGTTCCATAGCTTTGTGACCCCAAAACTAGGCGCCGCCCCATGGGGGCCACAGTCTCTTTGAATTGCAGGGACTTACACGAGCACAGCCAGGGCCTTACATGATTGTAGCTTATAGTAACCACTCAGCGTGCAGGAGAGAATGGAGTGGACTGCAGCTGCCCATGAGGCCCTCAGGTCTTGTGTTCTGTCTGAAACACCCAAATGGGGACCTCTGCAGGCTCCATGTTCATTATCTGGAGCAGAAAGTGCCCCAAAGTATGCGTCTGTTTGGGTTTTAATGGTCTTCTATACAATGTAAACGTGCCCCTTTTTAAACACCAAAGTGGTTTCTCACAGCTGGCTGAGCTTCTCTGCCGAGGCCTGAATTGCACATTACAGAGAGAGCTGTAAGCTTTCTGGGAGATTTACTCAAATGTTATTGGATTCCAGCATTTTTATTAATTTTCATAAATGGGGGTCCTCAAGCACGCCCCCTAACGACTATTGCTAATTTGCTAAGCCCTGCTGCCATTGCCGGAACTCCTGTGGTGAGCCAGGAAAGTGTGTGGTGTGCAGTTTGCAGCACATCAAACCCTGGGCTGAAGTTATGTGACTTTTATATCAACTTGGGGAGATTCATTTCCCCTCACTATAATTTACAGATCTCTTTTCATTGGCTGGGATTGCAATTTGCCAAATGGATTACATTTGGTACTTTATTTTCTCTTCATAGCTGGTCCTTATGTAATTTATTTACAGTTCATCAGGCTTGATAGGTGGGTGGTAATAAATCAGCGTGCAGGGCCCTCCAGTACATGGCCAGGCTGCCCTTTGAGGGGTGGGGGAGTGGGGAGGGCCATGTAACGCATGGTCTCCTGAGCTCTGGTTTCTGCCTGCGGAGGTGGCTGTCCCCATCGAAGACATGCAGAGGATCCATCTGCGATTCATGTTTCGACATCGGTCATCCCTGGAATGTGAGTACCAACCAAGTGGCATCTGGGGCGAGAGGAGGGGGATAGCCGGGTGGCCCATGTGTCCTCCTCTTTCCTGACCTCACAATGCCACTTCCAGCTAAAGATAAAGGAGAAAAGAACTTCGCCATGTCCTACGTGAAGCTGATGAAGGAAGACGGTACCACTCTGCAGGATGGATACCACGACCTGGTTGTCCTAAAGGTACAGTGAGTTGGAACCATCTTTGCAGTGAGGGGGCTGCAGGAAGCAAAGGGGACAAGGTAGGGTGGATCCGTGGTTAACAACAGGGACCCCAGGACCACACACACCACGGCTTACCAGCTGTGTGGCCTTGTACAGAAGCTAACTTCTCTGGGCCTCTGCTGCCTCATCTATGAGCCCTCAGTGAATAATTGTGAAGAGTACATGAGACAGTTTATAGAAATATGACAATGGTGGGTTCATGGAACACTCAATATGTGCAAAATGTGAACTCTGAAAGGACCTGTGGGATGTGTAGACATTCGACAGACGCCTCCCTGTAGCTAATGGGGGAATAGTAGGATTTGGGGTCCCGATGCCGCTGCTGACCAAATCTGAACTCATCTCACATGTCTCCCTGAGTCTCAGTTTCCTTTTCTTCAGTGGTGATGGTGATATTTGTGTCGAGCCCGTGAGATGACCCTTGTGAAAGGGCCGTGTGTAAAGGGTACAGATGTCAGCTATCATTGTTTTTGCATCGCGAGACTTAGACTGTTTTGGAGAAGTGAGGAAGCGTGGCCTTGATTGTATTGCATGC